TGCAACTCACCAGCGATTCACCCCAAAAGATTAAGAGAAGAAGAGATTGGATTGATACCCCCCGCCCTTCACTACCCAAAGGAGTCTCAGAGCAGCTTGCAAACTTCCCCTCCCCACAACAGGCGCCCTGTGAGGTAGGTGGGGCTGAGAGAGCTTTTTCAAGAACTGCCCTTGAAAGAACTTGTGACTGACCCAAGGTCACACCAGCATACCTAACAAGGGATACTCCAAAATTCAGCTCATTCTGTCACTTTGATCTAGAAGAAGGATTGGATTTATACCCCATGGCCCTTCACTACCCAAAGGCGTCTCAGAGCGGCTTACAAACTCCTTTCCTTTCCTCTCCCCACAACAGACACCCTGTGGGGTAGGCGGGGCTGAGAGAGCTCTTTCGAGGACTGCCCTTGAGAGAACAGCTCTGAGAGGACTTGTGACTGACCCAAGGTCACCCAGCTGGCTGCATGTGGAGGAGGAGTGGGGAATCAAACTACATAAGGAAGTTACTAGACGCCATGAAAAATAGGAGGAGTAGATTGGATTTATACCCCACCCTACCCAAGGGAGTCTCAGAGCAGCTCACAAACTTCTTTCCCTTCCTCTCCCCTCCCCACAACAGACATACCCTGTGAGGAAGGTGGAGCTTAGAGAGCTCTTTCAAGGACTGCCCTTGAGAGAACAGCTCTGAAAGGACTTGTGACTGACCCAAGGTCACCCAGCTGGTTGCATGTGGAGGAGAAATGGGGAATCAAACTACATAAGGAAGCTACTGGACGCCATGAAAAATAGGAGGAGGAGATTGGATTTATACCCTGCTGCCCGTCACTACCCAAGGGAGTCTCAGAGCGGCTTACAAACTCCTTTCCCTCCCCCTCCCCACAACAGACACCCTGTGAGGCGGGTGGGGCTGAGAGAGCTCTTTTGAGGACTGCTCTTTCAAGAACAGCTGAGAGACTACGGCTTGCCCAAGGTCATCCAGCCAGGTGCGAGTGGAGGAGTGGGGAATCAAACCCGGTTCTCCCAGATTAGAGTCCATGCCCTTAACCACGACACCAAAGAGGGAGGATAAGAACGCACTGCAACGGAATCAGCAGCAAGTGCGACTCCCACAGCCAAGCTTTACCCGTTAGAATAATTGGATCGTTCCAGGTTATTAAGAGGGGAAAAGCCTTTGAACATTTCTTTATTCTGGCTCACAGGCAGAACTGGATAGAAACTCAGGAAACACGACGTGTCTCATTTCCAGCACTTAAACCGTTGGCTCACTGGTGCAGCCCTCCTCCTTCCCAACTCTCTCCGGAGCCTTGCCTGATGTCGGCACCGTTTCCCATTTCGTCTTCGGCCCATTCACTGCCCCAAGTGCACCCGGAGGGGCGGAGTGAGCGCAGGCGCCCCCTCCCAACTACCTCCTCCAGCTTCGCAGGGCCAGCGAGACGGAGCTCTTCCGCCAGGCTTTCAAGTCAGGTGCATCTCGACGTTATGGCCCTGGCTCTGACATCAACACCAACGCCCACCTGGCCTTAACATCGGCACCACTGGCAGCTGGAAGTTTAACAGCTTGGCAGGCTCCTGGAGGCGGCCATTCAGCGATAACAGAATGTCGCCATCTTGGAATAACATAATGTGCTGTGTAGCTACGGTTTTATACTTAAACTTATTTTAATCTTGTTCAGGGGTCATTTCCTGCAGGAGCGCACAGGAGCGGAGCTCCGGCAGTAAAGAGCCCAGGGGGCGGGCACATGCCACAAGCTCCGCCCCCTGCTCCCAGCAGCCCTCAGTCAGAGCAAGAAGCAGCCAGGTAAGCTGCAGAGCCCCCCCCCCCCCCGCCCCAAACCGCCAGAGGCCGCATCTTGACACAC